TAAGCACAGTTTCCCAGCTAAACAACTTTGAGTTCACCCGTATTCTTTGTTGCCTGACCGTTGTTGCTACCTTGACGTGGTGGTCGGGCTTGCCTATCGTGATGAAGCAACTGAGCTATACTGGCTGGAACAACCGTTCCTCAAGGTCCTACCATGCCAGACAGGTCGGTTGAAGAGCGGTAAGACTAAAAGCAACAAAACCTAGGTCCGAAGGCGAAGTCGTACTGCTGACTGTACAGAGGTGTGACAGCAGTAAGGTGTTTCCTTCAGACAACCAGCATAACAGCGATGCTGCCTTCCCAAAAGGAGGGGAGGGGTTAGAAAAGGTCGACCCTAAAAATGCACACCTCGCCTTATCCCACGGATATCCGTCTCCGGCGGTAAGGTCTCAACAAGTACGGAGCTAACACAAAAATTACTCATAAAAAGGTCGTATGTGACCGACCTCAAGCAGCTGTCCCTTGGGCACTGCGGTCACGCTCTCAGGTCACTATGACCACCTCTAATCCAATTTCCTTTTCAGGTACCTCCAGCAGAACCCTTCCACGGTGTGGGCAACCGGGAAGTGATAACCGCCCTCATACCTCTAACAGCACTCAAGACCACTGTATTCATAATCAACCTACCTCTTCAATTCCTATTATTCCTCTTACATCGACTTTCTATGAATCCGGTGTTCATCTTGTTGTGCTAATGCGGTATGGCAACTTGGACCGATTCATATACGTGCCTGGTCCTACGTTGCAGCTGACTGACTGACTGACGTCAGCAAGGTGTACCTGTAATCTTTGAGGGAACTGGTGCTCCCTGGCGGATTCGACCCCGTGTCACCCAGCTTCACAGTCAGAGACGTTACCACTGAGCTATCTGGGCCGCGACTGACCTCCTGTAGGACTGTGAAGTAATCACAATTGATTGATCACTGGGTGGTGACCAATGTCATGTGTGTCTAGTCCTTATTATTAGTGCAGATCGAATTCTATCGACCATGTAATATTTTCCTCAGAATTTCAGAGTCCCTACCGACAAGTCTAAATTAGTAAGAAACCTGAGCTCAGAAATTCTTCCTGATAGTCTTTAGTCATGTAGTATCAAAGTACGAAAGATGTGCTTTGAGATCAGATTATGAGTTACCAACTTGACTGCTGAGAAACATAAAAATACAACTCGAAAACCACACACAGATCTGTGCAATAAATAAACTTTAGATAAATAATAATACTACACAGGTATACAAATTATCATTGATACCCTACAGGTTTTTAGTCACCAAGTATTAAGTCGCATTACCCAAGGCCTGGTAGATAACACAAGAATTCGACAACCCGCCACAGTTTATTAACAATTAAGAAATTGACAATCCAGACTGATTTTGCGCTCCTTAATCTTTTTACTATGATCAGTGCTACCGAAATTCTGACAACCAGACATAGTGGCAAAAAACAGTGAAAATAGGAGTAAATAAAGATATGGTTCTAGGAAATTTTGAAGAAAGAGATATATTATTGAAAAACGCACAAAAAATTCGTGATTCAAATATTCATATCTGACCAGATTGGATCGAATCAAGTGGAAGAATGCTCTTACGGAGTTGAGAACTCGCAAGTTAAATGGTGAAACTAACCTTACCATTAAGGGTTTTCGGGTAATCAGGTCTTGGAAGCCAATGCTTCCGAGGCCTGTATGGGTAGAACGAATGAATACCGAAACACCTTAAGTGTGTGCTACACGAACGCCCGTAGTCTTTGGAATAAAACGTCTGAGCTAAGTCTGTTGGTGGATGAATTAAGTCCCGATATAATTGTTGTTACAGAAACTTGGTTTACCGTAGACATGGAGTGTTCTCCCATCATTGCAAGCTATATCTGTATTAGAAGTGATAGAGCTTTAAGTCACAAGGGGGGAGGAATAATGTTATACATTAAGGATCACTTTCGTATACCATCAATCATATCGGAGGCTCATGTTAGTGGTACATGTGAGGTAGCATGTTGTAAGATTAAATCTAGAAATGGGTTAGTGACTATAGGCGGAATATACCGTAGTCCGTGTTGTCTTGCTGACGACTTTATCTTAAGACACATCTGTTCTTGGAGTATGGCAGAATGTTGCCTCATCATTGGGGATTTCAACGCTCCGAACATAAACTGGATAGAGCCTACAGCTCCAGGTGGAGGTTTTGATAGCGAACTTTTATCAACAGTTATTCAGTGTGCACTTGTCCAATGTATCACTGAACCGACACATATTGATCTGAAACGTGATCCGTCACTGCTGGACCTCGCCCTCACCCACCACTGTGAGGACGTCTTTGATATTCAGCACCTTCCTCCACTAGTGAACAGTGATCACGTTGTACTTCACTTTAAGTTTAGGACACATGGTATACGATTTGTATCTGCTCCACCCCGTCCCAATATCTGGCGGGCTAATATTCCGGCAATCAGAGACTGTGCGATCTCTACTGATTGGTCGGTTGACGCAGATGGATCGATCGAAGACGAATGGATTAAGTTTAAGGCTACATTCGAGTCCGTAACGTCGCCGTTTATCCCATGGTCAGCACGTAAGCTATCGCACTGCCCTCCATGGATTAATAAGGAAACCCGTAAGCTGTTAAAGCGTAGGAAACACTTCTGGGACTTATTCTTGTTGACAGGTCATGCATCTTTTAAGCGTGAGTACCAAAAACTCCGGAATATTTGTAAGAAAACAATAGCTAAATCCCGTATTACTTACGAACGACAGTTGGTATATGATAGCCGTACTTGTCCAAAACGATTGTTTTCGTATGTTAAACGGCAAATAAAACGTAGTGATAGTATTCCCCCATTATTGTTACACGATAATTCAGGTTTACTAGCTGAATCAGATCGAGCAAAAGCTGAGACATTTTCAAACTACTTTAGCGAAGTCTACTTTACGTTTATTGTAACAAATACTTGTCCCAATTACGCCGCGATACCAGCCATTGAATCTATACAGGTGACTGAAGCAACTGTCCTTCCGTTGATAATTAACCTCAAACCTTGTAAGATACCGGGTTCTGACGGGTTACATCCACGATTGCTGTCATCTCTTGCAGACATTATTTCAAAACCGCTCACGATACTCTTTAACATGTCCCTTTCACTCGCTCAACTACCTAGGGATTGGAAAGATGCTATTGTCAGTCCTATATTTAAGGATGGTCAGAGACACATCGTATCTAACTACCGACCTGTCAGTCTGACTAGCATTGTCGTTAAGTTACTTGAAAAGATAATTCGGGTTAGGTTGCTAAGCCACATAGATTCACACAATCTGTTAGCACCTGAGCAACATGGATTTCGTGATAAGCGTTCATGCTTGACTAACTTACTTATTGCGAGAGAGGATTGGACAGCAGCCTTAGATAAAGGTCTGTCTGTCGATGTTATATTCATAGATTTTAGCAAAGCATTTGACAAGGTTTCACACTCAGGTCTTATGCAGAAGCTCACAAGCTTCGGAATAATAGGTACTGTACAGGAGTGGATAGGAAACTTCTTACGTGACCGCAGACAGAGAGTGAGGGTCAATGGGACGCTATCCGATTGGAAGCCGGTCAAAAGTGGTGTACCCCAAGGCACCATATTAGGCCCTCGGCTATTCCTTCTCTACGTAAATGAATTACCGCTGTTGCTTAGGTCGTCGACATTATTTGCGGATGACGTAAAAATCTGGAGAACAATAAAAAGTGAGGCTGATCATCTAGATCTTCAAGCCGACTTAGACGATTTAGTTAGATGGGCTTGAGGTTGGGGCTTAGAAATCAATTCTAGGAAGAGTGTGCTAATGCACATCGGGCACGGCAATAATTACCATTATAATATTGATTGTAAACCTCTCCCATGCGTTCAAGAATATAATGACTTAGGAGTAATAATAAGTCATGACCTAAAAACAACTACGCATTGCAACGCAGTCGCTGTCAAAGATTTTCGTGCGTTATGGTTACTTCGCCGAGCGTTCAAATCTTTTGACGAGGAAATGTTTCGAATTTTATATCCCACCTATGTAAGACCACATTTAGAGTACTGTATTCAAGCAGCTAGCCCATGTCTGATAAAGGATACTACCTCATTCGAGCGTGTCCAGCGTGTGGGAACGAAATTAGTGAAGGGTCTTTCTAAACTCCCTTACGATGAGCGTTTAAAACGCTTAAACCTTTTCCCCTTGTCGTATCGTAGGACTCGAGGTGACCTTATACTGGCATTTTGTATCTTTAATTATGATTTGGGTGTTAATATGTTTTATCTTTTTGCTCCATCCGGCACTAGTAATCTCGAGGTCATAGCAAGAAAGTTCATAAACCGCGATCTAATAAACTTAAGGTGAGGTTCCGTTTTTCTCATAGAGTAGTCAATGATTGGAACGCCTTGCCCAAACAAGTTGTATCCGCCCCATCAGTGAATATTTTCAAGGAGAAACTGGACGTTCACTGGAAGACAATCTGTTAGGATTAACACAGGTTCACCAACCCACTATCCTTATTACTGAAGACTAAAGACTAACATCCCGATTTCAGTGTACTCCAGTAGAAAATCGGTTTTCTCTAAACCGAAGGAAATTCTGAGGTTCTAAGTCTCATTTTCCAAAAACGTACTATAGGTATTTACCCAAAATGATAAAAATTTTCCCCAATATTGAGGATATATATGTTCGATATATTTCGGAAGATTGGGCCGCTGCAGTAACGTTAAAAAACCCAAAAACGTGAACAGAAATGCAAGTGGTATATGAAGAGCAACGATATTCCCGCAATAAATTAATACTGTATAGTAACTTTCTTTACTACAGAGACAAGTAGTCAGCTTCACATAAAACTGATTATTTGAGGGGGTTTTCTGGAATCATTTATATTAAATACCTCTACTATTACCTCAAAAGAGAATTCGGACACTTTTTAGTTCTGCTAACTACATGGCCCTTATTACTAAACACAAATGAATAAACACGACCTAACAGATTATGCATACCGGGCAACGCTTAAGGGGTATCGTCCACTGATGGAGGTTGCGAGCACTTGAAGGTCAAACTGTTTCAACATGATTGGTGCGTCACATCGACAACTCGTGAAGTTTTTCAGAGGCGGTCAAATCAAGACATTTTCAGATTTGAATTGAGTTCAACCACACCATGTCTGATAACGTTCATCGTAATCATGCATGATATAGGACGAATCTTCAATGATATCATGTTATCTCGGAGATTTACAAGTTGGGACAATTTTGAGACCTGTTTGAAAGAAGTACATAAGGTAATATGACTTCTGTGGTTAATGATTATTTTTGTAGTATACGCATACTAGGTACGTTATGTCAGTATGCAAAAAGAACAATGATGACTCAAATCTAAAGTATCTTTTCGTGAGATATGTTTGTACATATGGACGTAAACGCAGTTCGTCAGAGTCAGATGCTTGCGTTCAGGATGTAGGTGATGATAGTGATCATCATTCTTCCGAAGAGCACACAACTTCTAACTCACCCCCACAACCTAGACAAAGAAGACGACGTCGGTCATCTACGTATGCTTTGCTTCAAATTAATTTATCCTTCAGGTCGAAATATTGCCATTGTCAATCTGGATTTTGGGTCCGTGCAATAAATGGTGAGCTGAAAGTCACCTCTATCAAGACCGTGCACAACCATCCTTGCACAGAAGGATATATTTCTGTAAATCCTTCAAGAAGAAAGTTGACGTCAAGTGAACGTCTATATTGAAGAACTTTTCTAATGAGTAATACGCCGACTCGTAGTTTACAGCATCTGGTTTCATGGAAGTTCCATAAACAGCTTACCAAGGATGATATCTGTAAAATGCGTTCACAGTTGTACCCAGGTTGTTGAACTCACATTGTAATTAATTGAGCTTAGACACTAAAAATATCAATAACATTTTACAGCGCGTTCAAGCAAACACTGAAGTTAAAGTACTCAGTGAACATGGAAACATATCTATGATTTGCTTCAGTCGCAGGGAGCAGGTATCTATTTACCACGCGTTCCCAGAGGTGGTATGTATTGACTCGACTTATCAGACCAACAAAGTTGGGTAAGTAACGAATAGCAATTAATTCATCTTACAGTTTTCCACCGTTCCAACTAGTGGTGACTGATAGTCTTGGGCAAGGGCACACTGTTATGTATGCTCTTTGCAGGCAAGAACGACGAGAAGATGTCGTAAAATTATTGGAATGCTTCAAAGATATAATGTGCTGTACTTATGATTTATATGGGCATTAACTCATTCTTATAGCGTTACGGTAGGGAGAGTGTACTGTGCAGTCTTATGTGACTGTGAGAAAGGGATGTTGTTTCGCGTTCTTGTGTAATAATTACCAGTTTAGCGCACACGCGATTAGTTATACGCACTGTTTACCAAACACTGCAACTTTGAACATGATTTACTATACTACTAGGTCGGATTTCGACTTGTCACGATATGTAGGCATTGCCGTAATTAAAACACTGATGTGTTATAAATGAGAACGTTTATTAAAGTTTAAATCCAACAAAAATGATCCATTAATGAATAACCTCGAGTTGTTAAGAATTGTTCCAATTAGGTCTGTGAACACTTGCGAAGCCAGCTAGAAATAAGATAGACAGGAAATAACTATTACAATATAATTGTTTACCCAAAACTAATATAGAAAGAGAAATCGGTATCCAATTACAAATCGAGAGGGCATTTGGCACATCACGCTTATGTGCTTTATATATATATATATATATATATATATATATATATATATATATAAGACTGCTATGTGAACTTACTTTGAATCATCCTGTGTAATTTGCAATTATTAGTGCCTATTTTATTTTAGTCTCACGTAAGGTATAAGTAATTGTCATTTAAGGCATCAGCATATAAGCTAGACAGGCTTTCGGTGATTTTCGAAGATCATTATATACGATCTCGAGATCGTATTGTGTGATCACACAATCTGGTCACCTGAGATCAAGATATCTTGATTACCCAATCGTACTTTCCGATGCTTTCGTTTTATAATAGTACTTATTTCTGCTATTAGCTATCTTTGCAAGAATACCGGCAGCCTGAACATTGGAACTCTGTTCAAGAGGTAATATACCGTGGAGATAGGTCTGTCAAACTTATTTTGTAAATAATTTTTATTATTATTTGTATTCATTTTGTCAATCTTCCACTGTGTGTACATTTATTATTAAATCATTGTACCCGTTGTTTTAGTTAATGACCTTGATCACTTTTTCCGTTGCGATACTAACATAGCGTGACACTTTCTGTGATCGTTCCAAATACACTACTACACACATACCTCTCGTTCTAAATTCACTCGCATTTATGTTAACTGAAGTCTAAAGCAAGTACCATTTATCTTTACAGACGATAATTCGAATATACCATATTTATTACTGAATCATATCATTGGGGAACCTATCACACTCACATGAATTATTAATCATCTATAATTGTGGATATTTAACACCAGATCAATTTGGAACACGCACTCTCCTGGTAAAATAAGTAACATCCTTTATTTCTATTGTGTTTATGACATTTAACTTATATATATTTAAATATTGCTATTTGTTATAAGTAACTATCATTACCTTTTGGATTAATATATTATCTGGTCCACCACAATACTACCTATAAGCTAATTAGCTTTATAAAGCAATCTTAGCTTACTCTCTGGTAAAATCTCCACATAATTGTACCTCTCTCGCATGATTATGATTTATTTCTTGCAATATAATGATTTGGTAGCTTATATATCTAACTGTAGAAGGTGATATTAACATACTGGTATGTGTTATAACAATCTACAGCATATACATAATATTGACAACACTAAGGACAGCTAATATTTTCACTATTAGCCTATGTCTGCCATAAAAGTCGAACAAAACAGTGAAAATCAGCCAAAATTGTAATAGAGAAAGGACAAACGATAAATGTTATCATGGTATCGTTAGTTGTAGCGCAGTTTTGGTAGCCTTGACGACAATACAATTTTTATGACAATATATGCTTAGATAATGTCATTTCATATAAAAATAAACGATTTGTCTGCTCTGAGTGTATAGTTAAGTAGAAATAATTGCCAGTCTGCGATGCAAATACGAAAAAACTATTATAGTAGCATCTGATTAATGAATTTTCAAGGACATCGCGATACCATGTACCGCAAAATGGAAAAACCCCTTTTTACTTAAATATGAAGACGGAAAATAAACTTTGAAATTTAATCATAATAAATTTCAAATTTTGGCTGTGCACAAAGCACAAATGAAGAAGTAGCGCAATAAAGTGTCGCGATAACTCTGGAGCGCTGCCTGCATACCGTTACGAAAACATTCAAGGAACACACACTTTCATCAATGATGGATATTCTATTCAGTAATCAATCTTCAGTTATAAGAACAGGAGGTCTATCGATCTGTATTAATCATTGTGGTTTAAAAAACGGTGAAGGTCTAATGTTGTTTTTATACTATTAACAGAAAGCGCTGACATTACGTGTCCTGGTAGAGAATTCTAGTAATTCACTACTCTGTGAGATAAACGGGAATCCATGCGTAGACGATTTGATCTTGGTTTTTGGACTTCAAACTTCGTTGGGAAGGAACTGTGATCTGTCATTCCCTAGCCTCAAAATTTGAATTGCATGCGGTGAATTTTGTTATCCATATCAGTTCTCGTTCGAGTGCGCCCGTCAGGTCATCTCTTTCAACAAATAGTCAGCCTAATATACATTACAGCGGTATATAAATCCTCAAAATAAATAATTAAGAATGTCTTCGATATTAGTGCTCATCTCTATGTTTTACTGGACACGCCCTAGCTGAAGGCTATCGGTCACACATCTGCACCAGATCACGAGCGATTACATCGTGCTACACAACCTTTGCAACTACTAGTTAGTCTAGGACAAACGCTTTCCATATATATCTTCAAACCCCTTCATTTTCGACTTCTGATTCAGCCAGTTTATTGTGCTGTTGGTAGGCTGTTACTCGTAAAAGCGTTTTCAAACTCCGAGTACCTGTTGCATCTTTAGCATGTTGCTCGACTCATTGACAATTCTCCAAATGTGTCCCCAGACCGTTTCACATCCGTTTCGTGGTTTGAGTGGCTTTGAGATAATAGTAAATGAGTTTGGTTTGTGATTCTTATTTGAAAGTTTTTCTCGCTGACCTAAAACTCATGAAATAAAAAAATTTATGGATTCATAGATATAATTGATGGACAAGAGTTAACTTCCCCACGACATCAACAAGGTTTGAAGATGAATATGTTGTCAACCTCGTAATGATAACTAGCTGAGGAAAATTCGATGAAAGCCGTTTTGAAAACATTTTAGTGTCTAGTAATAAAATACAAATACATGATCCATCTTATCTAAATAACTCGTATCACTCAGGATAGTGACAGCTAAATGTATTTCAAAACAGGATGTGCTTCTACGACACGAACCAAAACAACACAACAACTGCATTACTGAGACGGAGTGATGAGTATATAAGGATTGTGCGAAGCCAAAGAATTAATAGTCATCATACCATTGAGAAATATGGTGAACGTTTCGCGACGGAAGTTGAGAAAAAAAGTGAACAATTGTTACTTAAGAATTATTAATAATAACTTGTAAACTTGTTTTTATGCTTCAGTATTAATGATGGTTAAATAAAGTTTTGCACAATTTTTATTTTCCTCTTGTTCCTACTTTCATGGTGGTGAATATCAATGATGTTCACGAGTCAGTGTCTGTAAAAATTAAGAAGGAATAAGTGACGCTATTTTCACGTAAAGTCTTACATATTAGGCACCCACGTGACATGTTAACCGTCGTCGGATTACGTCTATTATCAAACTAGTATCAGTACCTAAGTAGACTATAATTTCATGTGATTAGTTCTGCTTATGAATTTAAATAAAACCAGAAGAAATACTAATGCAGAATAGTATGCATTCATTATATTTCGTGGTTTGTCCTTAGCTGCTTACAACCAAATATGAATTATAATTTAACATTTGGGTATGAAACAGTTGACATAACTGAATATAAAGAAT